TTAATAGAATATCTTGTTTAGCAACTTGAGCAGCTGTAACGCAACCCCCCCCCCCCTATGGTTCTGATTCTGATCTAGGAAACAATGGATTAGTTGATTATAGTTCATATTGTATTATATAAGGTATCTTATCTTGTCCTACGCATTTGTGTTGGAAAGACTCCAACAGCAGCAGTCTGAAAGGCCGATTCTGGTGAGCTCACTGTGTGCTGAATCATGCTGGTTATTGCTTTGAACTCACATTAGGACTCTTTGATATTTTAATTAATGTGATGGGTGAGATGGATTCAGCATTAATTCATTTTGTTGTGCGGTTGAATCTCGTTCAGTTTCAGGATTATGTCAAACATTTTGGTAACTGGTTTGAAAATTCTTTTTGTCAAACTTTTCACACCAGTATTTACCAGATAGGAAAGCTATGTTGAGTACCTAAAAGTGTGAGCTGCTAGTAGCCTGCAGCACCACATCAGTTGAAACTGAACGATGAAGCAGACACCCAGCTCATGTGTTTGATAATAGTATTTGATTCGGTGGCTGAGCAGGCCAATGAAGCTCCAATTTATACTCTAACGATCATTACTGTGCTGCAGGGTCATTAGTTTGTGCTGTCTGTGGTTGCATGGATTCCGACTCAGTGCTCCTGTCCAAACAGAGAGCCCGCTGTCACCGAGATGACGTCCCCAGGTCTTCTCACTGGAAATCGCACAGCCCGGCACTCTAACTCCTTCGCTGTACTGCCCCGTCTCTGGAGACATGATGAGAATAATTTCCTCTGTGATAGCAATACTCATGGTGCATAGCCATGGACTGCTGACATTACAGAATTCCAATAGATGTCAAATGATGTTTATTTCAGGCAGATCATGTTATGATTGCAGAAAGGAGCAGGAAATTGGGAAAGACAGTTTGCTTATAGAGATGTTAAAACACGGGTTATCACACTGAATACAGGTTTGGCCTTTCTTTTTTTAGCTTGCAATAGATCTAATTTTATCCTGCCTTGATAAGAGGATTAGTCTATCAAGCTATCAATAAAAGGTGCACGTGAATTCTAAAGTAAGCAGCAAACAGACTGTCCTTACTTACTGGTCTCTCATCTTCCTTCTTTCAGAAAGACTCCACTGGCCAGAGGTAGAAATGTCCAAAAAGTACATCTTAAACTCAACTGACGAGGCACTGAGTCCAAGCCAAGTGTACCTGGAGAAGATATCTTCAGCTGTCCTCAAAGACCTCTTTAGTGCTGGCTCCAGCAGCTACAACGTCCTGCTGCAGGCTGAGGAGGAGGAGAAGAAGAGCCCGAAGCAGTCCCCGTACAAAAGACCAAAACCATCATTGAAATCTGGCTCCATGTTTAGTAAAAGAAACCGTCCAGGCATGGCTCCTAAAAAGGTGCGTGCTGCAGAAGGTGGCAGTAAACCCGCACAGGCAAATCGGGTCTTCTCAGGCAGCTATTCCAATGTCCCGAAACCAGCACGGAACATCGCAGTCGTGGGCAGCACCATGGGCCTGACCCCTCGCGCAGTTCCACAGCTCAGAAAGGCGTGCATCCCCAATTCCCCTCGCACTAAACTTCCCTCGTTGCACAAAGCAGCGATCGCGCGGGAAGTGGAATATGCCAAGAAGCTCTGCATCCTTTCAGCCATCAAGCCATCTAATGTTGAGAAAGAGAAGGCCAAATTTTTTAAGTCTGACTTCAACTACAATCCACAGTTTGAGTACAGCAACCCTGTCTCTCCACTTGTCCTGGCCCGGCATAACAATGCCTCAGACCATTTTCTCACACAGGTAAGAGTGTGTTTGTGTTTGGAACAATTTAAAGGACCAGTGTGTAGAATGTAGTGCATCTTGCCTCGCCCTTACATTCCAAGCATGTAGGAGAAACTACAGTGGCCACAAAACTCATGACAAACTTCAAAGGTCCTATCTAGAGCCAGCATTTGGTTTGTCCATTCTAGGCTACTGTAGAAACATGGCGGTTCAATATGGCGGCCTCCGCCAGAAGAGAACCCACTCCCTCTGTATATAAAAATGAATAATTTTAAGGTAACAAAAACAACAATTCTTATTTCAGGTGGTTATACACTAATAAAAATATACCTATGAATATTATATTCCATTTCTGACAATAGGTCCTCCTGAATGTTACACACTGGACCTTTGATCTGTTTTCTGATCATTTTCTCAATCGATTAATTGTTCGATTCATCAAATGTCAAAAAATGTTGATCACCGTCTCCCAAAGCCCAAGGTGACGTCCTCAAATGTCTTATTTTCACACAAAAACACAATGCGACAACAATCACAACCCAAAGATATTCAGTTTACTGTCATATCATATGTCCATCATACAGTACCTGCATTAACTCATTATACTGACATTATTTTTCACATTTGAGAGCATATTTTTCATATATGTAAACAGTAAATATTTCAAATTAATTGTTATAATCTCAGATAAATATATAACTTCTTACTGTATAGTGATATGTGTTTTAGCCAAAAGCCGACCTACTGCTGCTGGCTGCCAGCCCAGTATGCACGGTTTACATCTATGGGCACAGATTATGAATCCGTGAGCACAGTTTATATACTGTTCGCACAGATTTGTAAAGAATACAGATTTACACATGGCTCAGGGGGGCTATGTAGTGAACCAAGCATGTATCGAATTGTGAGATGAGTGTATTGTTACATCCCTAAAGTGTCACACCTGCATAAACTGAGGTTAGTAGCAGGGTTGCAAGCAAAGTCATGTTATTCCCTTTGAACCATGGCTGCATGATATAGACAAAAAACAAAAACAAAAACCGATTATTATGACAAAACTATTAAAATTATTAAAGAGTCTGTAACAGAAAAACATGTTTTCTTACATTTGGAGAACAAGATCTGTAAGTCAGGGTATTTCAGAACAGACTTTTGTCACACATTTTATCTTCATAAAAAAAAACTTTGCAAAAGCTTCTTGGAAATTGCACTTGGCCATATTGCGATTAATTAATATATTAGTCTCTGAAGTATCCAAGGTACTGTATCAAGGTAAAGGTGAAATAGATAAAGTCAAAAACCTGAAACTTGATAGCTTGCATGCTGAAACTACACTCGGACAGTTGGCCCAGAGGCAGTGACAGGTCATTTATCACATCTACAACAGTGTCCTTAGTGCACGAGGTTGGTGCTGAGCTGGCTGCTTTGAGATCAGCAACCTCCATGTGCCAGCACGCAAATTGGAGACTGTGATCACAGAGACATGCTGCCAAGGCTGTTTTTAGCATCAGGGCTGATCAGAGCTGATGCAGGGTGAGCCTGTTGTCTAAGTGAAAGTGGAAAGTGGCTAGGATTAATCAGTTCAGGAAACAAATTTAGTTCAGCAAACACTGGATGATTAGTTTAAAACTGCCTCAGTGGGTGTTTTAAATCAACATTAACAGTATGAGCACATAGAAGAATCACACACAGTATTTGCAAGTTCAATCAACCCCCAAATTAATGAATAAGGGCATAAGATCAGACGTGTGTTTCTAGTGAACAGGAAAACAGCCCTGTGGTGTGTTGCAGGCTCTTTTAGTAGCACAAGTACACAGAGAGTAAGACAAGGAGTGAGTGAGCTCAACAGGAAACGCAGTAAAATGATCCTGTGGTGGAGGATGCTTGTGCTTGTTTATTCCTGGCGTCTGCCTTAGTTTTTCATGCTTTCTTCCTCTGTCTTGAACTTTGAAAGTGGACTGTCACTTGAATTACGTTTGTTTTACAGTATGAAATTCATGGCTTTTGTCAGGGAAAAGACACTAGTGCAGTGTAGAGTATGTATAGGAACAAATCCAATACATTAAACTGATGATTCGCAACAATTCATGACTGGGTTCACAATATGATTCTCTCAAAATTCCTTTTTACAAAAGGAAATTGAAGACAGAAAAAGATGACTTAATTTCTCAGACAAAAATCTCTTTTATTTTCTTCATCAAATCAAAGCTGCAGTCAGTAAGTTTATAAAACAAATTCAAATCAGGTTCCTCTGGCTCCTCCTAGTGCTCCTAATGATCTTTAAATACAGATGCTTTGTGACCCTGGGAAGGAGACAAAAGAATCGAGTCTTCAAGCCAACAGCCCAAAGAGTCTATACCTTTCTCGGCTAGGGCAGTATTAGTCTATTGCAATGAAAAGAGATTTTTTTTTTGTTGATGAGACTTAACAGGAGCATTTAAATATAGAAAAGGAATTAAGGAAGGACCAAGTATAGAACCTTGAGGAACTTCATCAGAGCGCTTGCCAATTAATGCCAGCTTCTCTATATCCCATAGTCTTTCTGTAAAAAATATTTTACTGTTACTTTTGTTTTTTCTTCTAAAAAAGTAGTTTGACTAACTAGTGTTTGTTTAATATCTGTCTAATTGTTTGACTGTTGGACTTGATTTTAGCAATGTACAGTAGTAGCAGGTATTGCTACCACTTTGGAGCACCAAAGTGAAATGTTGCCAAGTACTGACTGTCGAAATCATCAACAACAGAACACAGTCATGGGCAGCTTTTACATGATGAAATTCACATATCTTGCAGGCAGTGCACATCATGGAGCTTGCCCTGCAGCGATATGGCAGCTATGAGAAGTTTGAACAGGTCACTGGGGGCAACCTCCTCACCAAGAGTCGCATCTGGCACAACGTCAAAAAATACATGGAGAAAGAAGGTTGCTTGGGGGAGGTAAGAGGAATGGTGACTCAGGCTTAATTGATGATGGAGATGCATTGTGTTTTATTTGCATACTATCGTGATGTTATATTTTTTCACAGTGTGATTTTAAGACAATGACAAACACAACACAGTTCTGGCAATTCCCACTGTAGTAAAAAAAAAAAGGCTGTAGAGCCTGGTACTTTTCTGTGGCTGTAGTCTGCAGTCTGTGTCATGGTGGATTTGTACATCATCATTACAGAGCAGCAGACATCATCAGGGCATCTAAGTGAATGAGCTCCAGGGAAAAGTAAGACCTAGCAAAAAGCCGCCACTTCAATGAAGTCAGCCTGCACTTTGCTTGCAGCTGCATTTATGTAACTTTCAACAAATACACATTACATCACCAAGTTAATAATGTTCCACTGAACACATTACACCACATATACATGCATCTTGTGTATCCTTGGTAAAGTCCTAATGGGTTTAGACATACACGTGGAAAGAAAATACAACAGAGTGAATTGCATTAAAGCTAACTCTAATTATACTTTCAGAGTCTTGGCCACAAAGATGTGCAAGGGTTTACACAATGCCAGTTTTGTCATCCGCCCATGCCTGTGGGGGTTCACACTGACATATTTGTGGACATCAAAATGCAGCCCAAAATTTAGGAAAGCACACGCCAACTGCACATCTGAATATGGCCGCCTATGCAGACACCTAGTGCAGTATAAACAGAACACATGCTCAGCTGTCTGGCCTGCTGTTTCAGTATAGTGAATTTAGTATGCCTGCCTCTCAGTTTAAAAGAGCTGACAAATACATAAAAAAAGGTTCACAATGATGTCAACCCCCTATTCTGTTGTTTTGGGCTCTGGGCTACTGTAGAAGAGGTCAGGCCAAAATGTTCTCTTTCTGCTCGCTGTGGAGAGAAGCCAGGCGGGACTATAGACAGTAAAAGGAGTGAGGGGAGTTTCAGGGTCTGAAAGGTGAAGCCAATGTGGAAGAACCTTAAACCTGCATTCTTCCTAATTGCCGGCAGGCCCAAAGATTTGTCTGATTGTATTTAACCTTGTGAGTAAATTACTTCTGACTTGATTTATGAGCTCAGTAAACAGTTTCCTAATGAGTTTCTGGTCTCAGTCTCTAGTTCCAG